AGCAGCAAGGGGCTCGTCATATCTTCCGACTGTGGGCAGGGTGGGATGGGCAGACTTGAGACGTGTTGCAAGGCGGAGTTCGGGGGGCTTGGTGGATGCAGGCGGAGACCGGATCACGGCCCTATTAGGTTTGGGCTGTGGCGATGCCCCTTTTGGTTTAGTGGGAGTGAGCCCACTTCCCAGGACGGAGAACACAGGAAGAGAAATGGTTTTCCTGGGGTGGGGACTGGGAAGTCTGAGTGTGAGGTGCCTGAGCGACAGCTCGGTGGCAGTTCCCAGTAGACCCTGTACGTGTCAGTCTAGAGCTCCGAGACGTCTAGGCTGGTGGCACGGAATGGACACAGTGAAGCACAGAGACGGCTTGAGCTCCTGGGCGCAGGCGAGACAGTCCAGGGGGAACTGGAAGAGAAGGCAGCCCGGGGCAGAGCGCAGAGGCATGCGGCACGTCGGGGACAAGGAGAGGAAGAGGAGCCCGAGAAGGCGCAGCCGGTGTCAGACCCCCAGAGTGGGGCCTGGGGCTGATGGAGGAGTGTTTCGGGAGGGAGAAATCAGCAGGCCGCGGGGCCCGTGAGGTCAGGCCAGGCCAGGCCTGAAAAGGCTTGGCTTTGGTGACACAAGGCCATTCGTGACCTAGACAAAAGCAGTTATTTTTTGCTGGTGAGATACAATTAGGCAGCATTGTTCTCTTACATTCTGGATTAAAAGGAGTGTCCTGCTGGGTCAAGAAGAGCCTCTGTCATTGTCCCGTCTCGGCAGTGGGTACAGGTGAGCTCACGTGACCCGAATCTGGCCGGCATCACTCCTGGCAAGGCGAGGGAGGTCTGGTGAGCACAGGCCTTTCAGGTACTTAGGACAGTCACCTGCCACCAGCTAAAGATGACCGTAAGCTAGAAATTTAGAGAGGGATTGTTGGATCCCAAGGACTTAAATAGCGCTAGAGTTGATGGCTTAGCAGTCGCTCTGTAATCAGGCGCTGCTACAAGTGGCTGAGGAGGTCGGCAGTGGGACCAAAAAAGCCTGCAGAGACAGAGATGTGGCTGTGAACAAGGCTGGGGGACGTCCCTGACAGGACTTGCGAATCCGTAGCCGAGACTGTGGCTGCTATTGAATCATAAGAGGGAGGGAGGGATTCTAGCTGTAGTCCACTGAGATGAAAAACTGGGTTGTGTCATGTCCTGGAGTTACGGCGACAGTGGCAGGGGTTGGGGGTGGTAATAAAAGGATCAAAGGCTCTGCATTGGCCTAGTTTTGAAACCAGGGTTTATTATTTACTAGCTCGGTGACCTTGAGCAAGTGGCTTGGAGCCTCTTTGAGCTACAGATGATTCATCTGTGAAGTATGGTTTACAGGGTTATTGTCAAAGCTGCATTGATGTGCGTGGAGCACCCGGCACAGAGGAGACATTAAATAAATGGTCACCGCTGCTATCCTTGTCATTTTCATGACCACCATCATCGGCATTGCATTTGTGTAGTTGTTATGAATTATAAAACACTTCCCATGGTCTCACTGAAGGAGAAACAGTTCAGCTGCCATGCACTGAGATTTTGTAAACTTCTGCTGTCTTAGCACTAGCAACATCATATTGTCACCACGTGGGCACATCTGCCAACCCCAGTAGACCGTGAGCTCCTTAAACAGAGGGATGGCCTCTTAAGGACACCAGTGCCAGAATAAACTGGTGGCTCCATCTCCGTGTGTCAGGCCTGTGTAAGGAAATGCTTTCTCACCACCAGAGCTCCTTAGAAGTAGAGCAGGTGTCTTCAAAATGTGAGCTCCACTCCTTGGGGATATGTCAGGGACCACTTGGCAGGGACACTGTTGGGAAGTGGCGGAACGGGCTGGGAGGCTGGCTCGGACGGTGGTTCATAAGCCCCCGCTTCAGGTTCTGTTTGTGTTTTAATCGGACGAAGCAGTTCTGATGGCCTCTCAGTTCGTTTGAAGGAGCGTTTGTATTCACCTAGGTCTGTGGGCTCTGTGCAGAGTTAGCCAGACAGGGCTGGCCTTGGGGACTCTTCCTGCCTCTGCTTCCACAGTTCTTCAGAACTCGCAGGAATCACCTTAGCCCCAGTAGATGAAATGTGTTAATGTAAAAGAACTTTAAAGAATACTTTTATATGGAAGACAGTATTCTATAAAACATCAAATTTGCCCTAGATGTTTTGGCAGCGTATATTATATAACCTTTGGATTTACATTTTCTCTTTCATAGAATAAAAACTACAGTATCACTACCTCGAGAGTTTTGCAAGTTCACATTATGTAAATATATGTAATAAAATATTTACTTAGGGTTTCCATAAAAAATGTCCAAAAGAGAGAATAAGAGAGCTTCTCTTTGCTGGTTTTAGAGGCTCTGCTGGGAATTCTGAGTGAAACTTAAGCCTCTCAAATATGTTTTGATTGGCCTCCTTCGTGTTTTATCTCCTGTAATGAACTCTTTGTCAGTTTGTCAATTTTGACTAAGGACAGAAAGTTCATGTGTAGTAACAACACAGAGACCGAATTTAAAATTATGGTTTGTATCATGATGTAATAATCTCTTCTCTTTTCCTTTAGTCAATATTTACCTGTTAGGCCAATATATTATAATTCTTACTTCAAAAGAAGGCACTTTATTTTACCTTCTCCCAGTGTTGGTTTTAGATACTTGTAATATCAGAATTGGAAGTCGAGCTGTCTGAGATTCTTGGCCACGTTCTCCTAGGCTTGAGTTCCTCGATCATGGCAGGCAGGTCTCACTGCTCCCTGTGACCCAGCAACACAGCTGCATGGCTCTCAGAATGAGGCAGCTGAACTCTGAGCCGCACTGGTTGCTCTCAGCCTTCCAGACAGCCCTCTCTCCTCTGCGGGAAGCAGGTCTGTTCTATTATCTCATCGCAGCCAGGATGTCTTAGATGGACCAAGGTTTTCCCTAATGTGTTAATGGTATAGGGCTGGGCGGGAAAACCCAGTGATGCCCTGTAGGAGGGTGGTCTCAGAGTGTGAGGCAGATGAAGAATAGGGAATCTTAAAAGCTTTTTCTCCCCTGAACTCCTTGTATTAACTACCGCTGTTTAATCATTTTTTATTTTAAAAACCAAGAGAAGAATCGTCCCCCAGTGAAGGAACAGCAGGACCATAAATAGCTCCACAGTTTGCAGGTAAACATGTGATGTGTTAGGGCCGATCACCCAGGTAACCAGAGGAGCAAGTGCTGATGAGTTAGTAAACTCTCTGAGTCACCTTGGGTATCAGTCAGGATTCTTTCAGTGAGTCATAACCGAAAGGGGATTGATTAATTCATAAACTGCCAAGTTCACAGGTAGGCTAGTTAGCTGGATTCTGGAGCTCAAATGAGATCATCATGATTCTCACCTTTATTTCTTAGACCTGTTGTTTTCTGTGCTGGCGTGATCATGTGGCAAAGATGCTTCCTTAGCAGTTCCAGACTTTCAGTGTCTTTACTCTCAGGGTCCTGAGAGAGAGACTCTCTTTCCTGAAGTCCATATCGATCTCTGAAAACAGACTCAGAAAAATCTACTTGAGTCACCTGCCTGTGCCTAGACCAGTCACCCCGAACAGGGATGGGTATAATGGAATTACATCAAGCATATATTTAAATTTAAGCAAATTCACCTTTGTGTTTATATCATCAGCATGCTTCTGTCTGCTTAGGATGCTCTCTTCAAACTCTACACTTATTTACATGGGTACTCTTTTTCATACTCTGTGCATTTTGTGCATTTTCATATATCTATATATCTGTATGTATGTATATAATACATATACTACATTTGATAGATGATTTATGGGATGTTCAAGAGTAAATCTTAAATCGATAACCTAACTGGCCCCCAAGCCCACTTTAGGTACATTGCCGTTGGCCTGAATCACCTGATCATATCTCGCTGGTACAGCTGATGGGGAAGGCAGGACCTGCTGAAAACTAGCTCCGCCAGCAAGGGGAAGGGCAGTTCTAAAAGGAAAAACAAGTAGGGTTTTTTACCAGAAGGGAAATGGCAGGAGGCAAACCAATTACAGTTCAGTCACTCAGCAAGTATTTATTGAGTGCCTACCATGTGTCGGCATCCTTCTAGGCACTGGGCCCACAACGTGAACTTTTCACAAAAGCCCTTTCTGGAGCTGACACTGTAGGGAGAGAGGCAGACAGTAAACACATGAGCCAGTGAGGAGTGTGCGGTGTGGTAATGATGACGCTCTGGAGAAGAGACCGTGGTGGACGTGGTCGGTTCTGGGTTAGGTGCCTTCCCGGTTCCGGTGGGGGACCAGAGGGCAGAGATTCTCTTCTCGTTCTGGGATTCTCTTTCGATTGACCTATATAAGGTAGGAAGGATCTTGATAGGCAGATCCCGAGGAGATTATCTCAAGTGTAAGAAAAGCATGAGCTAAGCAAACATCTGAATGGGATGAGGTAAGATGCATTCTGGGAATGGAAAGATGATTCCCAGGTCAGAGCGTGGAAGGGAGGGTGAGGTTGTAAGGCTGCGGAGGGGATTGCAGTGAGACCTGCAGGCACGTGGCTAGCGGCCTAAGGAGTGATGTCACTAGACCCGTGGTTAAGATTACTAGCTATGGAGGGCTAAGTAAGAGGGGATGGAATCAAGTAGGAAGGCCAGCTGTGGGGCCAGAATGGACAGGAAGAGCAGGGCTTCCAGAGGCAGAGGATGCAGGATTTGGGGGCTAACTTGCTTCTAATGGCCCAAAAAGATTTGTTCATCCTCCAGAAGGAGTCTTCTTTTGCAAGTCTACTGATAGTCTCTCAAAGACAAGAAACCTTTAGAAATGGTTAATGTTGTTTATTCAGGATAAAAGTCTCCTCATCCAGTGTGCAGTGGGGAAAGTAGCAACAGTGACATCATGGGGAGTAGGCGGAGAGGCCAGTGAGACTAGGGATGGCCGCCTGTACTTCCAAGTCCCATGGCCGCCGGGCGCGACGTGCCGTCCCCGGAGGGAGTGCCGTTGCCTTCCACGCTGATCGACCTTCTTCGCTTTTCCAGGCAACGCCTACGAAGTGGGAGTTCACATTGCCGACGTCAGCTACTTTGTTCCTGAGGAGTCCGATTTGGATAAAGTGGCTGCTGAGAGAGCTACAAGTGTCTACTTGGTTCAGAAGGTAAAAATCCAGGTTCTTGGATCGAAAAGCGCGCTTCTGTTGTCTTCTTCTTCTTTCTCTTTGTTTATGTCTCCTTAAACAAAAACCAAAATGCTGAGGAACAGCAACCTCCGAACATCTTTTTTCACGTCTAATAAGGTGTTAAAAAAACAAACAAACACAACGGTGCTTGCCGTCCGTTATTGCGTGCTTTCCTGTTAGGCCCGTATACGTTCAAGAGGAAGCAGACTGAAGAGATTTGCTTCTCGGATCTCACGTCCGGCCTTCGCACCGGCCCTGCTGCATAAGTAACTCAGAAAAGTGGTCAGGTTCAGAAAGAGATGAGGAAAAATAACTGCTTTCAAACTGTCGTTCCACAGCAGGGCTCAGCAAACTCGGCCCACACCAGCCACAGTTTTTATAAAGTTTTGTTGCAACGCAGTCACACCCATTTATTTATGTAGTGTCTGTGGTGTGGTCACACTTTAGTAGGAGAATGGAATGGAGATTTACCCTTGGCCTTTTCAAAAAAGGTTTTGACTCCCGTTCTACAGGGTGGGGGCTGATCTGCTCCTCACCTGCCCTTTATAAGATGACCTAGAGTGTCAGGTGGAAAAGCAAAGGGAGCCAAGGGGATGTCAGGGCTTTTCCTGCTGGTCCTGATTCTGCCACTCCTGGTAAGTCACTGAGGCTACAGACCTCCTTTAACAAGTATTCAGTGAGCACCAGCTCTGCTGGGCGCTGCCCTGGGCACATTGGGGAGTAAAGACCGTATCCATGAGTTATTTCCGCCCCTGCACTGGAGCGCGTGAACTTTTCCGGTTTCCTTGCGCTCCCTTGGCACTGTGTATCTGCTTCTTTGGGGCATCGTAGGTCTTTGGCTATATCACGGCTTTCACTTCCTACCTAGCTTTCTTGAACCCAGTGCTCCGGTTTCGGATGGCTTCCCGTACTTGCTCGAGCCTGCCCTCTCCCCATGCCCTGGCGTATGACTTCTGGTATTTGCTCTTGACTACACTAAGGTGAGAGGTGTGTCCCTAGCACCCACCTGCACATGGCATTCTGGGAGCCGGGAACCCTTTACCTGGCCCCATCTCTCGAGGGCAAGAAACCAGCCCAGGCGCCAAACCTGCTCTATTCTGGGAACTTCCAAATGTCATCACCTAGAGAAAAGATCCAGCTGCCCAGTCTCCCTCCACTGCTTGATCTGATCGGTGGCTCCCACTGCTAGCATGCCTGTGTGCCACACAGCTAGCAGAGGGAAAAGCCAGCCTCTGAGCAGCACCCTCACAAGCAGCATGTCCTGGTGGGCCAGTGTGCTCGGGCCACTGCCTCTCTAACCCTGGAGAAAGTCACCTTGCTGCCTGCTCCGGATAGAATTGTATATGACATGTGGAAGGTGGACTTCCAGACATACCTCTGCCAGGTCCAATAAACCGTAATGTCATTTGAGCTTCGAGCGCCCCAGCCCTGTGCTAGCAGGACACTGACTGCATTAACTGTAACTCAGATGGGAGACATCCCAGCCACACCTTCTGCCTGAAAATGCAGTTGGCTAGACCCAGCCTCTGCCTGGCTCATGGCTTCTTAGGGAAGGAAGGTGAAACTCCAAAACCAGTTTTACCTATAGCTACTATAATGTAGAGAAGGAAAGAAAATAGAAGTAGCAGTCTCTAAAGACCACATAAAGCTAATAAATGTGAAATATTCTCTCGTGTAGAAAAGTCGAACTCTACTCTTCGGATACACGTGTTTAAGCATTGCAGTCACAGCCAGAGGGTCTTCTTCTAAGCAGGTGTCTTTCTCTTATCTAGCTGCTGCATTCTCCTTTTATAACCCGGAATTATGTTTCAGACTCAGAAAATGAAAAACCAGAATTGGGTTAAATTACTAAGCATGTTTTCTTTTCTGTTCTCTTTGGTTCTGTGATGGTCACAGATGTAGACTTTCTCTGTGGGACTGCAGAGCTGGGACTCTGCTCCCGCGGGAGCTGAGTGGAGGAGGGGCCCGCGGGCCTCTGACTGGCTGCGGCTGCTGCCACACGGCACTGCCCCCAGCTTGGCAGGAGCCTGCGGCGCCGGCCCACAGCCTTAGACAGCAGCGGCTGTGCCTTCGGATTCCTTGGAACCGCTGCTCTGACCTTTCTTCCTACTCGTTTTGTTTCTTAAAGGACTGTGTCCAGGAACTTTTCTGCTGTTTTCACTTTCCTTTGCCTATAAAGGTCTTCTTAAAAGCTGGATGAGCTGCCTTCCTCCTCTTCCAGACCCTCTGCTTTCTCATTTGGCAGAATCACTTCTCCTGACTTCGTGGGGAGGCGGGGGGGATGTGTG